TATCAGTGCTTCCGATTGCCCTGGCCCGGTGGGAGCACCACCTCCGACACCCCATTCCCTGCTGTGTCTGTGCATCCACGGCAAGCCCCGTCCTGGCAGCCGGCCGCCCCCGTCGCCTCCACGGCCACATTGTCATTCCTCGCTCAGCGCCGTCCTCGCCGCCGTCCTGCTCCTTCCCCGGAGCGCCCGCGGGCACCAGCGGAGGCAGCGCTGATTTATGGGCACGCGAGGAGCGGCCAAGGTTCTGCTTCTGTGTCTGCTCCCTGCATCCCGCCAGGAAGGAGCGTGGCTGCTGCAGGAATGTGGCACCTGCCCTGGGATGCTCGGGGACACCCCAGACTGAGGGGACAATGGGTGTCCCTGTTTTGGGGGAGCCTGGGGCTGCTCAAGAAGCAGCCTGGGACCTCGGCTCCATCTGGGTGCAAAGATGCCCTTGGCCGCACTGCAAGCGTGTGGAGGGATCAGCTCCTGGGATGGAGCTGGGAGAGCCCCGGATGCCCTGTCTCGCTCCTGGCACCGCCAAGCCCGGGGCTGCGACTGCTCCTGCTCTCCCGGCCTCTTCCCTGCTCCTCTCGGCTGCCTCGGAATGATTTTCGGAGGCAGTTGGTGGCAAGGGAGTACAGCTGCTGCTAAGTTATCCAAACGATTTATCTTAAGATTCATGCAGAATTCATTGTGCAGGGAGCCTGGGCAATGTCGGCTTTTAATATTCATGCGGATTTGGAGGCAGCGTTAATCACCAGCTCTGACAATTTGCACTTCCCTTAATTGTCCGTGCAGCCGGCGCTGCCCGGCTGCGCCAGCCTCGGCCCCGCGGCTCCCTGGAGACAGCGGCGGGCGCTGGGGCCGACACAGGCGCTCGGCCTCTCGGACCGATGCTCATGGATCACTGGAATGTGCCAGGATGCCCTTCCATCTGCCCGGGACACCCTGCCCAATTCCTGTGGCGATTTGCAGCAGGAAGCCGGCTCCATTGCCAAGCAATTGGGTCCTCTTGGCTGCATTGCATGCACCGAGCTGCCCCAGCCTCAGATTGCAGAGAGCCTTGGCCCTTGCTGGGCCTCCCCAGCCCCGTGCTCCTCCGCGCGCTTGGCCGCGGTGCCCTGCCGCGCTGCGGCCGCCGCCGTCGTCCCCGCGCCTGCCGCTACCTGTCACCGCTGTCACTCGTCGCGGTCCCGCCAGCGCGGGGACGGAATAGCAATGAGGGCTGCCGCGTCTGCTGAGACCCCTCCAGCTCGTGACAGCCAGGGGGTGCGGATGGGAGGAGGGCAGAGCTGGGGGGCCTGTGTCTCCTGCTCGGACCCCCTCGGTGGGGTTGCGTGTCCCCCGTTCTGTGCCCTGCCCCACAGCGGGGCTGTATGGCCCTCCAGTGAGACGTGGCCCGCTCTGCCCCGGTGCTGCTGCTGTCCCCGTGCTCAGCCATGGGGCTCGCACGGGGCAAAAAGAGCCTGAATTGCCCCAAAGCTGTGACCCATTCCGGTTGCCTGGGGGGCTGGGGATTTCGGCTGTTCTTGTGCTGCAATTGCCCCAGTGCAACTGTGTGCTTTGGTGACTTCACCCCCAGAAAGCCCAAACTGAGATGGGGGTGAAGGGCTGGTGTGGCAGCACCATTCCCATCACCCATCATTGCCATGGCGAGGACCGCACAAGGGGACGGAGGGGTGAATTGCCATGATCTTCCTCTGCAGGATGACACTGACTTTGATGGGAGTGACGTGGGGGGGACCCCAGCGTGGCCTTCGCTCCCTCTGCTTCCTCCCCATCCATCCTGCTCAGGGATGGGGCTACCTCATTGCTCCGTCACCCCAATGACTGAGGAGGGTGCCTGGGCATGGAGCAAAGCTGCTCCTTGGATGCTTTTCCAAGCAGAGATCCCTTGGTGTCCTGCAAGCGCATGCACGGTGCTGCATGTATGTGCATGCGTGTACACTCATGTGCAAGCAGCAGTCGAGCGTGACATTGATGAAGTGTAATTAGGACGGAGCTCTGTGTCCCTTCTCCATGTGCCTCCCTGGATTGAGCTGGGGCCTCTCCGGGGAGGCAGCCCCCGCTTCAGAGCCCCTCGTTACTGCTGCTCGTTAGTGCCCGTCATATGGGGGCCATGCACGCTCAGGATGCAGCTGCAGCGCCGCATCCAGCCCCATCCTGCGCCTCAGCGCCCACCCAGGACACCCATCCCCAAAATGCAGCTCCCCGGGGGGAAAGCTGCAAAAAAGGGGCGGAAAACAAGAGCCGCTTCCCAGTCGGCTCCGGCCCCGCTCTGGCCTCCATTCAAAAACATTTTCCAGCGCTTCAAACGGCTTCCGATGCCTGCGGGAAAACTTTGAGCTGCGTTTATTCTCCTTTCATCGTGCAGGGAAGGGCTCCCGCTCCGCTGCCACTCGTGTTTGCACGGGCAAACGCAAGCAAGACCGAGCGGGGTTTTTTGTTTCCACATCCTTGTCCTTCCCCCTCCCGCCAATTTTCCCTCACTTTGAGAACGTTTACATAAAAATTGGGGTTTTTTTGTGTGTTTTTTTTCTTGGGATTGCTGCTGCTGCCTGCCTGGAGCTGAGGCTGCCTTTGTCCTCCCTAAGGAAGAACAGAAAGGGGAAGAGTGGGAGAAAACCTGATCTCACCCCAAAACGGCTCTCCTGGTCAGATGCTCTTTACTGAGGGGCTGGCAGGGCCCTGGGCTGCTCCGTTCCCTGTGGCCTCCCAGCAGGGCCCTTCTCTCTGGGAAACAAGAAAGGAGAGGAAAAATGGGAAGGAAGGGGAAAATAGAAAGAAAATGCTGAGTGATTGGGGATAGTTTTCAGGCCCTGATAGCAATAAATGCCTTCAGCAAATTGCTCTCCTGCTCGGAGCAGGTGGTGGTGATGCAGGCACGGCCTTTCTTCTGTGCACCAGGGCAAAACTGCCTGAAATGGAGGGAAAAATCAATTTTTGATGCTTTTGTCCCCTGCTCAGGGCATGTCCTCCTCTGGTGCCCCTGTTAATGCTGCTGTTTGCCCCCTCCCCTGGTAAGATGCTATGGCCTAAGGTGGGAGGACACCCGTGGCTGGTGGGTGCCACCGTGGAGGGCTGGGGACACAGCCCTGTGAGGAGGAGGATGAGAGGGACGAGGAGGAAGGCTGCGGTCGGGGCGCCGTGCTTCCCAAACCCAACCAGGAGGAGCTGTTAATATAAACCCGCTAGCTAGAGGGTGAATTAAGGATGCTAATTTAATTTCCTTCGACGGAGCAGCGGCGGGAGGCAACGTGTTTGATGTGCGTTAAGAGCTGCCGTTTCAGAGCGCAGTGCGTTTTTCTTTTTCTTTTTTTTTTCTTTTAATTTTAATTTAAAGCTAGCCGTAAAGGAGCCCGTCTTTGAGGAGCTAATGACTCTCATGAATTATTTTTGTTGATTTATACACCCACTCTGCCTTTCAATAGCATTAATAAAGTAGGAGCAACGCCGTTCCCGGGCAGGCATGGGGAGGGCATCGCCTGCGTGGCCGCTTCCCGGGGCTGCGGACGGACACACGGATGGACAGATGGACATATGGATGGACGGACAGATGGACACCCGGTCCCGCAGCATCAGCATTCGGCGTCGCTCCCGCGGCGGCGGCTCTTCACGCCCGTTTGGTTTTACGATCGCGCCGAGTCGCTCGTGCGCGCTGCTGATTTACACCGCCCGGTTTTTAATTATCCAACCCGGCGCTCCCTAAAACGCGTGAAAGCGCCGGGTTTCGGAGCAATCAGGCGGCAGCGGCAGCTCGCGCGGGCCGAGGCGGCGGCTCCTGCTCAAACGAGTGGCGCCTCGCGGGGGAGGACGCGCCGACGGGCGGGCGGCCGCTGCTCCCGCTCGTGCTGCGGGGACCGGGCGGGACGGGGACGGGATGGGGTCCTGCCGCCACCCTGCAGCCGCTGTCGGGCCGGGGCGGCGCGGGGCTTTCGAGCGGAGCTGCAGCTCTCTCTCGCGGCCGCGGCGGCCCATTGCAGCGGCGGGACGGCGGCCCGAGGCAGCCCGTGCCCGCGGCCCCGCTCCCGCCTTCCCGCGCACGAGCGGGGAGCGGGGAGCGGGACCGGCCCCGTGCCCCGCCGCGCAGCCCTGCCCGGGGGCGCCCGCAAGGCCCCGGCACGCGGAGGGTCGCGGGGAGGTAACGGGTCCCGCTGGCGGCGCCGCCCCCGCCCGCGAGGCTGAGGCCGCCGCAGCTCATCACACGGCTGGCTCAAGCCCCGCCCGCGTGACGTCAGCGCTCACCGCCCCGGCTCTTTGTGTCCCTGCGGCCGAGCCGTAGCGGCGGGGCCAAAGAGCCCGGATGCGGAAGTGGTTTCTTTTTTCTGTTCGCAGCGCAGCGGTTGCGCCGGTGAGTGGGGGG